CTGAGGGGTAAAACATATCAGGAGAGACTTATGAAACTTGATATGTACAGTCTGGAGGAAAGAAGGGAAAGGGGAGAACCTTTAAATACATTAAGGGTATGAAAAAGATTCAGGAGGGAAGGTTTTTCACTATGAAGTTAAGATCAAGAACACAGGGACATGGCCTCAAACTAGCAGGAGGAAAGTTCAAAACTAATCTTAAAAATTATTTTCTGGATTAATCAAAAGTTGGAAGAGACTTCCAGCAGAGGTAGTGTGTCAATCAACTGTGTGTGAATTTAAACATGCTTGAGACAAAGTAGACAAAGACGTTAAATTCAAAAATATTTAAAAACAAAAATAGGACTGACTTGATGGACCACTTGGTCTTTTATTTCTGCCATCACTCTTCTATGTCTTCTATCACTGTCACAAAGTTCAAAGTGCTGAGAGTTCTGAGTTCTGAGAGCTCTATGGACCCCAAATTCACAGACATAAAAACAAATTATCCTAGAAGAGAAACTCAGTATATCATCAGCCCTCCAAGCTTCAGAAAATGAGACAAAATGATCAGTTGGTTAAATACTGTGCTGAGCCAAGGTATATAAGGCAAAGTTGTCCTAAACTGAGACAGAAAGGAGATTGCACATCTGTATGTACAATATCCAGACTGACACAAGGTGTAAAAATACCGACCACTGTCCACTGGTCCATTGAAAACCATACTGGATGGGGAGAGGTGTTGTGAAGTATAAAAAATATCATGTTTGGGGGTTCTAAGTAATGTTCTAGCAAAAGAATACTAATTTTTACATGTAGGAGAAGAATGTCAGAATTGGCTGAGGGCTGAAGTGGTTATTTTTTGTTTTACTTTCTACATAACAGTATGTATGAGTGAAGGCTACAACAGTGGCTCCTAATCTAGCATTATCTGCCTCCAATGTCCACTCTTCTGGCTGAGAGTGCAGAATTCCATGCTGACCCAAGCCATGCCTCTAGTGATTTGTTGTAAACCTGCTACTCTGTAAGCCAATATCAACTCATTGGTTTAGATCCTGCCCAGAGCCAAGGCGCACTCTGAGCATGAAAAGATAATTGAAGTCATGTGAGTGATGAAATAAGGCAAACAAAATGTATTTTGTTTTATTATAAACATAAAAGCATTGTGTAATGTTTACCCATTGCATCTGCACCGTGGCATGATTGGATAAATTGCTGTGGCTTCATTTCCCACTTTCACACAAAAAAAGGGACCTTCACTACTTTTTAAATGCAGTGCTCTGCAACACACCAATATGGTTTAAATTTGTAGTACGCTACAATGCAAGGGAGTTGAAATGGCATTAAAAATTAATTCTTCATTCTCACATGTGCATTTCACATGCATTTTACCATGCATAACCGCATTGCAATAGTATACTTTTCCTATACTTGCTGCCCTTCAATTTACATGATTCATACCTTGTTAGATTTACATTGTGTTGACCTTCAATGACATTTGAGATACTTGTTCATCAACAGGATGTAAATAATTCCTTTAATGAGCAAAGTGCTACATTTGTCTTTACCATCTCTTAAGGAATAACAGATAATAACAATGAGTGAATCAACTGAATGCTAAGTGGGTGAATTAGATACTCCATAGGTAATTTGTGATTTTCCGGTTTTGTGTCCAGATCTACCGATCAGTGGTGAATGGTAGAGCATATGCATTCCAAAGTTTTGTGAATTGTGTGATTAAACTTGGACTGTGTGAACTTGAACATTCAGGGTAATTGACCACTTGCAATTTTTTTCCTGAATGCATTGCAGATCTGCATCAGTGACAATGTATCCTAGTTACTACAGCTATCTTTGACTAGGAGAAATAATTAAATTTTGAATATGAAATATTTATTTGCATGTCTGCTTTGTAGGCTGCTTTTATCCCACAGTCTGTTTACTAGCCGGCTTGAACATCACATCCTTTGTTAATATTTGTCTCAGAGTCGGCAATTAGCATCATAATGTGCTACTCACTAACTAGATATTCTCAAGTCTCCTCTTCAGCTACAGAAGGCCATGCAAGCAATTAGACTTGTCTTATCAATCTCTAGACAGTTGAGAAGACAGAGGTTACGTTGTTCTCAGCTGTAAAATCTTTTCATTTCTACTGCGTGAAAAATAGATTTAATTTTTTTTTTTGTTTGATAAATATGTCATTCAGCTACCTATTTAAAATGAAGAATGGCTAACTAGGGAACAGCAACAAATGTAATGCAGCTAGCTATCAAGATGACAGATTCCCCCCTTCTTCCTGCAAAATAATAAATACATTTTTAATTAATTAGCTGGTAATTTGCATAGCATTATGAAGTATTCAACAATAGCTGGGCTGTCTGTGTCAAAAATACAGGGAATGACAGTACTGAACTCTGAAAATAAACTTGACTGTCATGTTAATCCAATGACCCAGAAAGAGTAGGCAGACCAAGAGATATTTAGTTGAGTTCAACTTTGCTTCCTGCAGAGGTCAGTAACTCAAAATTAAGAAGCCAAAGACAGGCAGTCAAGTTTTGTTTTAAATAGATTTTTATTGAAGGTTTACAGTAAAGGCTGTAAATTACAAGGAGTGTGGCACTATTGTCATAATTTCACACTGGAAACATTGAAAGTACATCTTTTAATATAATATCTTACAAATATAGACAGTGTCTTTTTAACTGCCAAAGCACAATATGAATGTCAGGGCTGGGCTCCTGCTACTTAACAAGCAGCTCTTTTCTTTCAGTGTTCAGAAGCTGCTCAGCTGTTAGTTAATTGCCAGCTACTCGTTGTCTCCACATTGACTCACCTGTATACCGTTACCTACCTTATTAGTCCAGCCTACAGCCAGTCCTTTTTTCTATTTTAGCAGCTTAGCTTATTTCTCGTATATTGTTTGTTACTGTATTGTCTCATATACTGTCCCCCACTATATTGTACAGCGCTGAGCAAACTTTTTGGCGCTATATAAACACTGTATAATAATAATTTCCACTTTGCCTTTGAATGGTCTATGATTTCCAGTGTGTTCCTGCCTGTGTTCCTGTGTACAACTCAGTCTGGCTGACTTCTCTTCTGATTCCTGTTCATGATTTTTGGCTCCAGACTATGCTGACTTCTTGTTTCTTGACTCTGGTTCTTCTGATAACCTGCTCTGACATCCAAACTCTGGCTTCTGTTTTGACTATGTTCCTGATCTATGTTATATTGTCTATTTCATTAAAGGTGTGATTTTAACTGCACTTTCTGTCTCCACCTGGTTCATGGTTCCTGACAGTAAAGAGAGAAAAGAAAATGAAAAAGATGGAAGGGAGACACCTCAAATATTGTTTTTTTTTTTTAAGTGTATTTATTTCTGTTCTGTATAGGTTGCATGAAAACAACAATAGTAGGCAAAGAAAAGGCTGTCTAGGCACATACATCTGGGCTGCACAGAGCCAGAACAATAAAGAGAGTCACACACATACACAACATTGCTTTCTCTCCTCTATATGCAGGGAGGTAGCTACTGTAGAATAGCACTGAAATGAAGTGGAAGGCAGGCAAAAACCTATGGGTACACCGCAAAAGGACTATAATAACCTTCATGGAGAGGAAGAGTCAGACAAATGAACTGCAGATGAGTCCATCCAGGGTTTGCCATATCTGTGTAGATTATCTTGTATTTTCAGAAGGTTAGAATTCACTTGACAAAATGCTTGTAAACTTGGGGAAGCAACATTTTCCAATTAAAGAGAACAGCCGTTCTGGCTTTAAAGGAAGTGAGTCTAAACATTGTGCAAGTATAAATAGGAGGTCATTTAGATTGCCCAAGAGATGAAAGTTCAGGGGTCTTTGAGACTCGAAGACCCAGGTTGGTTTCTAGGATAGTGAACAAACTGCTCCAGGGAGGATCTTGCTATTCTTGATTGTGAGGTGTTCCAAATAAAAGGAGAAATAATAGAATCTGAACGTTGGTGCAAGTTCTTAGAAAGGAAAAACAGGGATGCTTTAGAGGAATTTAGGTGGGTATATAATTTTAATTAAGTTTATATGACCAATATCATTAAGAGGCAGGGAGCTCTAGGTGTGCAGTCTGGATCCCATTTGCTTCAATATGGGGGTTATATTAAGGAATTCAAATTTGCTAAAATCTGAGTGACTCTGGATCCCCAAGTATTTGAATTGACTAGATATTTTTTTCAATTTGAATTGTATCAAAAAGGCATATGAAAGCACTGGGCATATAAGGTAAGCAGCACAATTATCCTATCCCACTCTAAGTTCAAAACATCCCCAGAACCCTCCACAACCTGCAACAAAGTGTTGAAAGAACTCTCAGAACCATCTAATTAAATCAAAGAATCATCTGCATATAACGAGACCTTCTCCTCCTGGGGACACCAACAGATATCACCCAAACCAGCAGACTGTCTAATGGATGGTGCCAGTGGTTCCATGGCTAAAGCCAATAGTAATGAAGAGAGGGGGCAGCCCTTTTGGATGCCCCTCTGGAGTCAGAAGATATTTTGGTTGGACTGAATATGTGCCTTAGAGCCTGAATATAAAAGTTTGGCTCACTTGCTATACAGGGGCCCAAAGCCCATTCCAGCCATATTCTCCCATGGAAATGATCATATGATGGTATCAAAGGCTTCTTGAACACCTAGGAAAACAACAAAACCACTCTGTTTTGATGCAGCTGTGCTATATCTACATAAAGATGTAGTCTCCTAATAATGTCAAGTATGCTCTTATTGAGCATTTAGGAAGGTCCATTGTGCTTTAGCTCTTTTGTGGTCCACCAATGAAAGGTGTAGAATCAGATCCTGGTGGAAGACTGGGTTATTTAACAGTGGGGTTAGGGGTGCATTGTCAGACTTCAAATGACAGCTTTAGGCCTCATTCACATGGACAAGTCTGGTGCATGAATCAGAATATTGGCAGACTGCACTTATCATTGATTTGCACAGGTTGTGTGCACTCCACAGCACTGAACACCTTTGCATCCCCGGCTGAAGACAGCTCTTCACATGGGTGTATGGATTGGCATGTGAGTGTGAATTAGACCTTACTGAGTTTGTCTCACAGAGCCAGTGAAACAGATAAAGTCAGAACAGGGGCGGACTGACGACTCATGGGGCCCCCCGGGCAATAGGATATCATGGGGCCCCTGTGTCCTTGCACACACTCAAAGCACACCCAAAAAAGCCTATAAAAAAGGTACCAGGGGCATTTCATGGGGCCCCCTACTGACCCCGGGCCCTCGGGCAGTGCCCGAGTGCTCGAATGGTCAGTCCGCCTGAGTCAGAATTAGACATTAGTTCTGCCAGTCTGTTGGCCACCTCTTTCCACAACTTCCACAATTCCCAGCATACTTTGTAGCTTTTCCTCTGCTGTCTACTTTCAATATATAAGGACTATATATCCCGTGCCTACAAGCAGCAGTCCCTGTACTGACTCCACCTCCTGAAACTCCTCCTCTCAGCTCCTCTGTAGTGCAGCAGGCAGGCTCTATGAAATATGTGACTCAGCAGTGCCTACTCACAGGGCTTAGTGAATACATGTCACAGAATTCAAGGAACTATATTTGTGGGGGATCTTCAAGAGCAAGCTTACAAACTTTTAAGATCATTCAGATTAATAGGAGTGGGCTAGAGAAAAAATGAAATACAACGTGGAAATTAATATATGATTTTAAATTTTAACTATAGATATGCTTTAAAGTGAAACTTTGGTTTAATAAAAAATCTATTCTAGTCAAGTATGCATTCTTAACTCAGGAAAGTACCTTATATTACTCAAAGCTGCCTTCAAAACTCCAAATTCTTTTTTTCTTTTTTTTTTGGGGCTGCTCTGATCCATATTAGAGGGTAGCTAGGTTAATTCTCTATGATCTCTATGTAAGTAAGAGCATAGCCACCATCTCTTTCTCACTTCCAAGATGGCATAAGGACTATGGGATATGTAGTGTGCATAGAGTAGTCTGCATGACTGCATCTAATGTGCACTGCTCATTTCAAACAGATGCGAAGGGGAAAAGGAGCGGTTTGAGAGCTCATGGAGAATGTTACATTGAGACTGAAAAACACAGTAAGAAACAATTTCATGAATAGATTATGGGGCCATTAAGTAGTGAACATGTATAGATTATTTTTGAAAATGAGTGGCTTGGAAAATTTTATGAATGGTGGTATTGGTTAATATTAATGGTGAAAGAGATTAATAGGAGATAATCTGCAAAGAGTGCACATTTTTGTTTTCTAGTACCACACCAAACCTCTTTTATACTGAGATTGTCTCTGATAAGACAAGCTAATGGTTTGATATGGATAGTGAATATTATAGGGGATAATAGTCATGCCTGTCTTGTACTGTGTTATATATTGATAATGTGAGAGAAATGTAAGTGTATATGTATAGTGCCTGTAGTGATGGAGTAGAGGGTTTGAAGAGTGTTCCAGGATATTATATTGTACATATAAGTCAAGGAAACCAAGTCAAATGCCTTTTAAATATCTTTGGTTAATAGCAAACCAGATCAAGGCCCTCTATTATCCCAATTAGACTGGAGGAATGATACCAGATCAGATTTGATATGGAGCATGTCTTTCAGGGTATAAAGGCTACTTGGTCATTATGTATGTAAAGAGCTATAGACGTAGAAAATTTGTTTAAGTGAGGATTTAAATATCATTGTTGATCAGGGAGTTAGGTCTGTAATGATTGACTTCTGCTTCATTTTTGTGTACTTTCTGTATCATACTAATAAAGTTTTTTTCTTATCATCAGGATCAAATCAGATACCATCCCTTATAGCATTAGAAAGTCATTAAACATGGGAAGCAAGTCTACTCATTTTTTTTATAATAAACAGTTGAAAAACCATCAGGAGCAGAATATGATGTCGTTTGTTTAACAGCATTTTAAGCATTAATGTTACTGCCATATTTCTGCCAATATAGGTCACCTTTAACATTAATCTGTAACCAAGCTATTGCCATTCACGCATTTACATATTTCTAATGTTAAGCCATATTGGGCTTTAAAACTAAGCTTCACTGACCTGTAGCTGCAGGCATTTTGGAGTAATTCATTCTCAAAGTTCACAGCAGAAGTACTGTAGTTATGCAAGATTTTCTCGTAGATACTTCCCATGTTCCCTTCTCTCAGCAGTGACACAGGAACCCAGCTCACCCTGCCCCCTCCTCCTGGCAATGACATAGCAGCTCAGTCCTCCCTGCTCTTCCTTCCCAGTAGTGATCCAGCAGCCTTACGGTCTTCTCTTTTCTAATACATTAAATATTTTATTGATATTTATTTTGTTCTTATGTTTTAATTCCCTAAGCACCTCTGAGTAAGAACCATCCATCCATTTTTTTCCTTTGTAAAGGTTTGCCTCTCCAGCCTGGGGCTGAACATTCACATTTTGCTGCACCACATTTATTTATCAGTCTGCAGAAAGAAAGAATCAGTTCCTTGGCCTCCTCTCCCCCCAGTGATCAGACTAGAACCTTGCAACTTTGCAGTATTTCACAATGTGGGAGGCTTCAGCAGGGCTAGTTTGTGTCATACGTTTGTGAACACAGCCAAGAGCTGCATAATTATGACGATGTACATGACTATATCTTCATTGAGCGAGAATCTTAGTCCAGGAAGCACATGCTAATTCTGGATCATGCCTGCACAATCATAACTCCGTGCTTCTGGAGACAAAGGCACATGGAATGGAGCATTGTGGTCTTTGTGAAAGGTAAAAAATACCAGTAAATGTAACACTTACATATTCCTTGTATGTATGCATTTAATGAAGAATCTCAAGCATGGTATTTATATGACATACCTGGCAGAAGCTGTTGGAAGCTGGAAAACATTGAAGTAGACAATGCTACTCCAGTGATCTCCACTTGCTTCCAGGTCCAATGCTGAGTGGTTGGTCTGATGCATTGTAAACACAAGAGGTTGTTCGCTCAGCACAGGTGCCATTCAGAGAATGCTTTGCTTTCTCTGACTTAATGCAAAGCACTCTCTGATTGGACAAGGTGGAGAAGCATAACGGTGATGTCCACCTGGCCTTTCCATGGTAGAGAAGGTATCCTGTAGGCTAAAGGTGTACCATACAAAACTATGTTGCAGTTCCGTAGTGATTAGTGACCATGGTGGAACTTGGGTGTTGTATTAAAGTGGTTGAAAACCTGAGACATCACACAAACAAAACATATCCCTCTATAGTGTGTACTTGTCTCTATCCAGAGCACTAACTGTCATTTCTGTCCGCTGCCTTGTTCCTCTACTATCTGCATGAGTCACTTCTGACAAGTTTTCCTGACACTAAGAGAAAAATGATGAGGGATCTCCAGCACACAGCCTGTCATTGACAGCCTCAGCTCTACTCCTGTGTGCTGTGTGAAGAGGAGTGTGTCCCTTCCCTCCAATCAGAGTGTCACTTTAGCTCTCGCCCTCTGCTTTCTGAAAGCTCAGACAAGCTGTAAAGATTCAGCACTTTGAAGGGTAGTAGAGGAGAGAGGGCTACAAATGAATAGGCCAGTAACTTCATTAGGTATATGAAAGAGTTTGCAATCACTTTAAAGAACATACCCTTTAACAAATATATGCTAAAAAAGAGGGATTGCAATGGATGGATTGTAAATGAGAAAACACATTATAGGCTTGACAAGATGACTACCGAACTGTGAAAATGACCCAGCTAAAGAAAACACTAAATAAAATCCCATGCCATCATCACAAGTACTTATCTTCATTCACCTTCCTTTAACAAATGAGTGCAGCATAATTCACATGTAGTCAGATGCTCTGCAGACAGCATGCCTCTCTCTTCGTTCCTGTCTCCCCCACCACCTTGAAGAGGAAGAAAGCTGCTGGCTGTGCTACCGGAGTGACTCTAGTGTGTGTGCTGAATTCCCCCCAGTGCTATGTGAGCAGATACAAAGTGACTGAAGGGGTACACTGTGCTCCTCTCACCCCTTGCTTCCCTGCTGTGTGAGCACATCAAGCTGTGTGTCCTCCCCCACTTTCTCCTGTCCCCTTCCCTCCTGGAAGTAGTGGCTCTGAGACAACCAGAGCAGAGAGAACATGCTATGCAGCGGCCCAGAATTCTAGGAAATTTAGTCCATAAAGGAGTGCTGCACAATACAAGTCAATGGTGCTAATGGAGCTGCAGACTTTAATACCCAGGACTCCCTGCACAACAGAATAGGAGTGACAGAACCTTTCCCCTGCAATTCTGTAGAGATCTGGGTTTTTCGCAGGAGGAAACCAAGTCACCATATAACAATTGTACTGCCCCCTACCCTGTCCTCCAGCCCAGTCCTTCTACAATTGCACCATTGACACTAGATCATCAACTGATTAGGATGAAAATGGGTTATTGACAAGTCATTCTGAAACAGCAGAATATTTGTCTTTTTTGTACTTAATTCTGCAATAGGATGTTGGGACAAGACATATAGCAAACTGTTTCAATTTCTACTTGTTTCTCCATTAGCTTTTCACAGGGAGTGAATGATTTCTTTAATTCCCTCAGCTCTTATGTGGGAATTGTAATGTCAGGGCAAATGTCACTGGATATTTAGCTGTTAGATTTCAGTAAAGAGCCTTGAGATTAAAATCAGTGTGTTGGGTGTCATTGTCACTAACTCTAGAGCCAGATATTGGAAGATAACATGTTCCAGTGTTTCCTTACTTCACCTTTACAAAAGGCACTGATTATAAAATTCAGACTTAGATCATTTTTTTTTTAATAGCAAAGCATAGTGTAAAGTAAAAGGTACAAAATCTGAGTTGAACAAAAAGGTTATTAAGTTTATTTTTTACTTAATTTACAGTATTAATCTATTGTAGCTACAATATATTCATCAGACTTTTCACAGTACAGCTGTGTTTTGCATCTTGCCTGCATCTTTCCTGCAAGCGTATACATTTTATTTAAAAAAAAGTAGTATATGAGCTTTAAACCAAGCTTTCACCAAACTCTAACTGCAGACATTGTGGACAAATTCATTGTCAAAAGTCACATCACAACAGAAGCACCCCTGTT